GTGCCAATTATAGATCTGCCATCAATTTTGGTGACTAATATTCTAAAGAGGCAGCCCAGGGCCAAATAGGGAGTGTGGGTTCTTGGGATCTCCATTTCAATGTACTTAAGTTAAAAAAGTGATTCCACCAAACTGAAAAACATTTGGGGCTCATGTGGCTAGAATGAAAAAACACTACCTCTCTGTTACTGCTGGGTGCTGATGACAAATGTGTCCTCACAACTGCCAAGTAAACATACCCAATGCAAATTTTATCACTTTAGAGGATTTACCCTCATGATAATGCACTACAGAATGTGGCTGATTTCTGTGAATGAGAACTTTTATGATTGCCAGTCCCAGTGCATGAGAAATAAAGAAATCAAAACCCACTGTCACTTCATTTTGATGGGAATTTAGCAGTTATCAAGAGAGCTGGGCTGGCCAGGTACTGAGCTGGATGAAGGTGCCCAGTGGAAAGTTCACCACAAGGATCCAAGAACAGAGATGCATTTCTGCCCCACTAAGATTCACTTTTCTGACTTTCCTCAGAAGGAAGCTTGTCCTCCAGCTGTTTAATGATCAGGAGGCTTGAAACCACCTCTATAGAAGCAGACCACAGCCTTGACAGGGAAATTATTTGGCAGCTCCAAATCCATACTCTGCTATTGTGGAGTCAAAGCAATGACCTCACTTTTGGTTCCAATATTCTGCATTGATCAGTTTTTCCATGACGGAGACAAAATATCTAACATCTCTAACTAAAGGAGGAGTGGATTATTTTGATGCACAGTTTCCAAGGATTCGGTCCATGCTTGGCTGGCCACAAGGCAGAAACATCATGACAGAGGGATATATCGGAGCAAAGCTGCTCACTTCATGGCAGACAAGAAGCAGAGCATAGGGGAAAAGCACCCAAGAAAAATGGCCAAATAAATACAGCCCCCAAGATAATGCCACCATGATTTCCCAAGGTACATTCAGAAGGGTGCTTTACTAATCCCTCAGGCATCTCAAAAACCAGTCTAGCTGACAATCATGATTAAAGCCCCTAATAACCACCTCCCTTGCTACTCTCCACATCTATGACTTCAACTTCTTTCGATTCTATATTTAGCTAGAATAATGCACCTTTTATTTTCCTCCTTAGACACACATTTTGACATAATGATCCCCCTTTTGGGGGGTATTAGTATAGATAGATTAGCTAGGTAGAAATATTATAAGCAGTCAGATAGGGCTAGGTCCTTGAAGGAATTAGGACAGAGGTGAAACACACCACAGCTGCAGCCATTGGAAACTGGGCCTCAAGATAAAGACAAGATGATCAGACCTACATACTTCCTCAAACAACAAACACTGGGCCTAATGAAGTCTAGATAGACATCAGCCACCCCCATGGGTGACCAGAAAATCATTGTTCTTTCCATCCATGCTTGTTACATAACTTGCTTCTCAACTGGACCACTATTATCTCAGTGACTATATTTGTGACCTGATTGGATGTTCATGGGTGTGGCCCACATTGTACCCACCTGGGTTTCACCCTAGAAAACTCCTTTGCAAAGTGGGTCCCCCGGCTACCCACTCCCCACTTGGATCCTCTCCTGCCCCTCAGGACCTTTCCTATCAATAAGTATCTTCCTACTCTTCACCTCAGTTGTTTCTAGGACTCATTCTTTGATTTCTAGAGAAGACCTAAGCATACTGTACAGTGAGCAGGTTGGGAGATATAATATTTCACATTTCATCTCCAGTATTACTTCCTGTAACAGTATGATATTGATACTTTGTGCCTATGACATAATTTCTGGGAGTCTCAAATAGGCCATGGTGAAAGTGGTAGTGTTGAGGTGCTGGGCTAGGACTCTGATAGACTGATACAACAGCAGTATAGATTTGGAGCTGCCAAAAAATTTTCCCCTCAAGGCTGTAGCCTGCTTCTATAGAGCTGGTTGTAAAGATTAAACAAGATTTTATAAAGGAAAACAAACATGAGACGATAAAGAGAAGGCAAAAAGAGTGGAGATTAAAAATCCAATCTTCCTTGAATATCATTTTGTGCATATTCTGCCTTCAATGTGGACCAAATGTAGATGATTTCTGTGCTTTGAAGTTTAAGGTATGATGCAGAACTTCTCAGTTTAGTTGTTAAATTTTCATTTGTTCTTTCTGTCCCACCTTCATTTTGTGTGTACAGCATTGTTTTCTATGTCATAAAAGTCCTATTTTGTATCCAGAGTTTTATTTATCTAGCTGTATAGACTCTGTGAGGTTTAATGTGCTGTTCCAATGTGCCACGTGTGCTCATGGATCATGTGGAATAAAAGGTAAACTTACTCCTTAATGTATATAAACTCACTGCAGCAAGGATTGCTGTTTCCAATAGATACTGCCTTTGAAAAAAGTCCAATTAAAGAATAAAAACAATAAAATTAGATAAAAGCTATAGTGGGAAACAACAAACAGAAAAGAAAATTAGTCCAAAAAACCCCCAAGGTATTTGGATTGTTACTTCCCAGTACCTGAATGTACCACGTATTGCGGAGAACTAGTGAGTCACACTTGGGGCCGTTGTAATTTTTCTCCACTCCCACTTAACAAGCTGGTGCTACACTGCCTGCTGAGGGAGGCTATTCAACGCTACCTTGTCTATCTTAGGGCTGTATTCACCCCAGGGGCTTTTTGTTGTTTATTTGTTTCGTTATGTGCATCTGGAGCCACTGCTATTCCCAACTGTCTTGAGGAATGTAGGTTGGTTAGCTGTCCTACTTGCTCCAGAGCTCTCCTGAGATTTGTAAACCCAGGACCATACCAAGTAATCAGAGAGTGGGAAAAGCAAATGCCACTGCATTTTCTGGTGAAGGGAAATGTCACTGGAACCAAGCAAGCTACAGTCAATCCTGCCACTTTCAAGCTAAGCCCCTTCACCAAACCACAGGCAATGGGCCTCTGACTCTTCAGCACAAAGATGATGCTGCCACCCACCAAACATTCCCCAGCCTGAGCTCCCTGCTTCTGAGATTTCTCAGATTTGTGATTAAATTTCCTTCTCACCAAGACTGTTGACTGTCACTTGTGGCTGTCTCCCCTACAGTCTTGATGGCAGAGTATCCCCATGAAACCTAAACTGTTCTTGTTCTGTGACTTCTGATTCCTAGAGTGACTAAGTTTCAAACAATCAGGTCCCTCTCAAGATAGCTCCTGATTATAATATGCCAGGATAAAGTAGGTCCTGAAGTGTATTTCTTCTCCAAAAGTAGCATGGCATGCAACTGTTTCTTATACTGCATGATTTACCCTTCATAGGCACTATAACAGAAGTGTGTAGAAATAATGTATCACAACATGATTCTTAGTATCCATCATCCACAGTGTAATTTCTATGAATTTCAGCCATGTTACCTTGAGAAACTTTAGATTATGTCAGTTTCTAACTTCTTAGCAAAGGTTTCTCATTACTATGGACATAGGAACTTTATGGGCACTATGCATAAGGGAATGGAAAATATGGATCAGATCATGGTTCTTAAAAAAATTAATCATTGGGATTTAGCTCAGTGGTTCAGCCACCTGCCTCGCAAGCTCAAGGTTCAGAGTTCAATCCCTGGTACTGAAAAAAATTCATCATCCATAGTTTTTCAGTGGAATGAAACTTAATGCCAGCCTTACACCCTTAAGTTTACTTCAATTTCCAAATCAGTATATAAAGTTTCTTACAAATATTCTACAATGTTCCATTAAGAACACTGTAGAGAAGAATGTAAGAATAATGAATTTGAATATTATTCTTAAAAGGTTCATTGTCCATAGTGTGTGCCTCCATGGGAAATTTTAGGTTACTTAAGTGTCCAATATTGCATTTTAAAGATTTCTTAAAATTCTTCAAATTTACCTTTTATGGACAGTATGTGGAGGGGTATTGAAAATGTGTGAAAACAGTGTTTCCTAAAGATCTGTCATTCAGAATGCCCTCTGTTGGCCCTATACTGACAGGGGTTCAAAACACAAAGCAGATCAAGACTCTTAAGACTCCAGTAATTCACAATATTCCCCATTTAAATACACATAGTTTTATTTGGATATGCCTGTGATACATAATAATTAACATTTGTTTGGGGGAATTTCTTGATCAGTTTTGATTCCCTTTTCCTTTCTCCTTGCATTTCTCCTTTCCTCGAATCCCTTTTCCCATCTCCAAGGAGTCTGCCTCCAAGCTGCCTACCATCTCTCCTTTATTTCACTCTTAGAGTTAGAGTTTCTCATAGAAGAGAAGCCATGTGATAGTTAACCTTCTATGTCTGATTTATTTCACTTAATATAATTTCAAATTCCATCCACTTTCCAACAAATGACATGAATTCATTTTTCTTTATGGCTGAGTAAAATTCCATTTTGTATATATGCCAGGTTCAGGGCAGCAAACTCTGACAGAGAGACAAATGAAACACATGAGAGACAGAGAATATCTTTATGGAGGGTCAGGGAACTTCACTGAAATGAAGCCCCAAATTGACTCAAGGTCCAGATTGATCGAGGAACAACAAAGGCATAGCCTTCTGCTCAGTGCAGAGGTTTGTTTTAGGTTAGCAAGGCATAGTGACCATTTGGGTGAATTATTAACTTTTATCTGATTGTCCCCAAGGGAGCTTCCTTGTTTTCCCTACAAGGCCCATTTCTGCTGGAGTTGGGAAAACATCCCAACTTCAAGATGTTCTGGCTCTTTGGAGTTAGTAGCACCCATCCCCCCACCCCACCCCCCGTCAACCCGAGCAAACATTAACCCACTGAGTGTGATGAGAAGCTCCACATATATATACTACATTTTCTTTATTCACTTGTGTGTTTATAAGAAATCCAGGCTATTTCCATAGTTTAGCTATATTGTGAATTGAACTTCTATAAACATAGATACATAGGTATCTCTATATATAAGTACAATGACTTTAACGCTTTTGGGAATACACCCAGGAGAGGTATACCTGGGTCAAATGGAATAATACTTTTAGGTCTAGGGTTGGTTTTTTTTTTTTTTAAGAATGCATTCCCACCAACAGTATCCTTTTTTCTCACATCTTTGTCAATATTTGTTGGTTTTTATGTTCTTGATGATAGCCATTCTGACTTGAGTAAGATAGAATCTCAGGGTTGTTTTCATTTGCATTTCTTTAATGGCCAAAGGTGCTGAACATTTTTCCATGTAAGTATTGGCCATTCGTATTTCCTCTTTTGAGAAGTGTCTATTCATTTTACTTGTCCATAGTTTGAATGGGTTGTTTTGGTGGGGGGCTAATCTTTGAATTTTTTATATATTCTAGATATTAGTTTTTTCCAGTATTAAAATATATTTTATTAGTATCTATTAATTTTACACATATTAGGTTTTGATGTGGTGTTTTCATTCACGGATCTAACACATTTTGATAATATCCATCTCCTCTATTAACTTCCTTATGTCTTCCAAACTTTGCTTTATTCCCTTCCCCTTGTCTAATAATCTCACTTCTACTTTCATGCCATTTTTATTTTAGATTCATATGTTAGGGAAAATACGACACTTGTATTTCTGCGTCTGGCTTATTTCATTTGATATGATTATCTCTGTTTCTATTCATTTTCCTGAAAATAACATAATATGTTCTTCACCACAGTTGAACAGTACTCCTTTGTGTGTACATATCACACTTTCTTTTTCCATTCACCCATTAATGGAAATCTAGGCTGGTTCCTTGTCTTGGCTATTGTGAATTGTGCTTCAATAAATATGGGTATGTAAGTATCTTTATAATATGCTGACTTTTTAACACTTTCAGATATGTACCAAAGAATGTAGTCATATGTTAGTTATATTCTTTTAGGAGCACATTGATTTCCCATAGTGGTTTGACTAATTTACATTCCCATCAGCATATTAGAAGAGCTCTTTCCCTCCATATCCTTTCAGTATTTATTGTTTTTTGTACTCTTGAGGATAACCATTCTAACTTGGGTGAGATGGAATTCCAATGTAATTTTTTGTTTTGCATTTGACTAATGGCTAAAAATGTTCAACAAATTTTTATATACTCATTGTCCATTTGTGCTTCTTCTGAGAAGTGACTTTTAATTCATTTATTTATCAAGCTATTTCCCCTCCCTCTTTTCTTCCTCCTCTTCCTTTTCCTTCTCCTTTCCTTTTTCTTCCTTTTATGTTAAACTCTTTAGTTCCTTATACATTGTAGATATTTATCATCTGTCAAAAGAATAGCTGGCCAAGATTTTCTCCTATTCTGTAAAATGTCTCTTCACTCTGTTGACTGTTTCTTTTGCTGTGTAGAACCATAAACTTGATGTAGTCTCATTTGTTGATTCTTGATCATATTTTCTGTGCTGTTGAAGTCCTATTCAGGACATTTTTGCCTGTGCCTAGGACTTCAAGAAGTTCTCCTATATTTTCTTTAGCAACTTGAAAGTTTCAGGTCTTCTACTTAGGTCTTTGATACATTTAGATGCAGACCTAGTTTCAGTCTTGCCTTGTGAATGTCCAGTTTTCCCAGGAGAATTTGCTAAAGAGGCAGAGTATGATGTTGACTCATGTCAAGAATCAGATGGCTGTAGTTGCATGAGTTTGTTTCTGTATCCTCTATTCTATTCCATTAATGTACATGTCGTTTTTTGGTTCAAGTACCATGATGTTTTGTTAGTATGACTTTGAAGTATAATTTGAAATCAGAAATTGTGATGCCTCCAACTTTTCTCTTTTTTGTTTATGATTTATTTGGCTATTTTGGGTCTTTTGTGTTTTTACTGAATTTTGGGATTTTTGTTGTTCTGTGAAGGATGCCATCAGAATTCTGATGTGAACTACATTGATTCTGTAGATCATTGTTTCTGATATGGCCATGTTAATATTAATTCTTCTGATTCATGGATATGGGAGATCTTTCCATCATCCAGTGTTCTTTTCAATTCTTTTATTCTGAATTCTTAAATTTTTATTGCAGATGTCTCTCATCTTTGTAGTTAGGTTGATTTGTAGGTGTTTTGTGAAGCATTTGTGAATGGAATTGTATTTACTGATTATTTTCTCAATGTGTTTATTATTGGTGTACACAAAAGCAATCTATCTTCTATTATTGATTCTATATCCTACTACTTTCCTGAATTTATCAGTTTGGAAATTCTTTTGATGGAGTATTTAGTATCTTTTAAGTATAGAATCGTATTATCAGCAACTAAAGATAATTTGCCTCATTCCTCTCCTATTCGTGCCCATTTTATTTCTTTTTCTTGCCTAACTGATATGACTAAAATTTCAAGTAATACATTGAATAAGAGGGGAGACAGTGGACATTTGTGTCTCATTACTGATTTTAGAGAAAATGCTGTCAGTTTTATACATACAGTATGATGCTTGTACATTTTTTGTATAACCTTTACCATATTAAGGTATACTGCTTCAAGATCTAGATTTTCAGGGCTTTTGTCATTGAAGGGATATTGAACTTTGTTGAAGTTTTTTCTGCCTCAAAAAAATGATCATGTGATTTTTATCCTTGATTCTCTTTATGTTATGCAAAACATTTATTAATTTGCATATGTTGAACTATTCTTGAATCTCTGAAAATAGACCAAGTAGATCTTTTTAATGGATTGCTGAATTCTGTTTACAAGTAATCTATTAAGGCTTTTTACATCTACATTTAATCACTAATATTGTTTTTTCTTGTGTCTTTTTCTGGTCTTGGTGACATTGGCCTTATAGAATGAGTTTGGAAGCATTCCTTCTCTTTATATTTTATAAAATGATTTGGGAAGCATTGGTGGTAATATTTCTTTAAAAGTGTGATAAAATTCAGCACTGAATTTGCCTGGTCTTAAGATTCTTTATTGGAGACTTTTTATTACTTCTTCAACCTTCTGACTTGCTATTGACCTGTTTAAGTGTTTTATATATTCTTATTTTAATTTTGGTAGATTGTATATGTGTGGAAATTTACCTCATTCTTCTAGATTCTCCATAAATTTTCAAAATTATCCCTATTGATTCTCTGATTTTCAGTGGTGTTTTTTTTTTAAATCCCCCTGTTCTTATTTGATTGTATTGATTTGGTCTTTTCTTTTAATTGGTTAGTTTAAATAAAGGATTTTGAATATTGTTTATCTTTTTAAAGAAGTAACTTTGTCTCATTTATCCTTTGTACTGTTCATTTTGTATTCATTATATCAACTTTATCCCTGACTTTACTAATTTTTTCCTTTTGTTGGGGTTGATTTTGGATAGTTCTTTCTTTCCAAGACCTTGGGATGCATCATTAAGTTATTTCAGATCTTTCTGATTATTTGATGTAGCCATTCAAAGGTAGAAATTTCCCTTTTATTCCCTTTATAGCCTAGAGATTCTTGTTGGTTGTACTGTTATTTTGTTATTGCTGGTTGTATTTGTTATTTGGTTGCATTGTCATTTGATTCTAGGCATTTTTAAACTTCTCCATTGATTTCTTCAATGACCAACTGATTGTTCAAAAATAGAGACCCTTCAATCTCCATGTGTTTGTGCAATTCCTGTAGCTTCTCTTGCTGTTAATTTCCAGTTTCATTCTATCATGATAGGATAAGATATAAGAATTTTTAAAACATTTTAGATTTGTTAACAGTTTCTCTATACACTAAAATATGGTGTCTTTTGGGGAACAACTCATGTGCCTATAAAAATTGTGTTTTCTCTAGTTGTTGGATGAAATATTCCTTATATTCCTGTTCAGTCTAAGGTGCAGTTCAATTCATGATTCTTTGCTAGTTTTTTGTCTGGTTGACCTGTCTTGTCAAGAGTTGAGTTTTATAGTCACCCACTATTATTGTATTGGGTGCTGTGTCCCTTTCCATCAAATATTTTGATTTACTAAGTTGGATGCACCAATATGCAATGTGTATATGTTTTCTATTTTTCTCGGTGGATTATTTTTTTACCAATATATTGTGGCCTTCTTTTTCTCTTCTAAATAATTTTGTCTTAAATTCTCCTTTGTTTTATATGAGTAAAACTACTCCTCTTATTTTCAGATTCCATTTTCATAAAACTTTGTTTTCTTTCCTTTTGATTTTACTTTACATATCTTTCTTAGTGAGGTGTGTTTCTTGAAGGCAAAAAAGAGTTGAGTCTTGCTTTTAATCCAGGCTGCAAGTCCACTTCTTTTAGGAGAAATAAGGCCATTTAGATTCAGAGTTATTATTGAAAGATATGCAGTAGTTATTTCATTATATTATTGTAGTGCTTGACGTTCTTCTCAATAGCTGATGTCTTTTCCACTTTAGTATGTAGGATTCCTTTAAGTTTATACTGCAATGATGTTTTAGTGGTCATTAATTTCTTTTGTTTATGATTCTCATGGAAATTCTTTATTTTTCCTTCAACTTGAAAGATAAATCTGCTGAATTTAATAATCTATGTTAGTAGATACTTTCTTTCAAGGCTTGAAGTACATCATTTCATGATCTTCTGACCTTTATACTTTCTGGAGATAAGTCTTCAATTATTCTAATGGGTCTGCCCCTATATGTGACTTTAAGTTTCTCTCTTTCACCTTTCAATATTCTTAACCTGCTCTATATGCTTGGCATTTTAACAATAATGTGACTTGTGGAAATTATTTTATGGCCATGCTTCTTTGTGGTTCTAAATGCCTACTACATATGGATGTCAGTATCTTTTCCAACATTTGGGAACTTTGTAGTATTTCATTGAAATAGATTTTCTGTTCAACGAACTTAGTGTGAACTTCAACACCTTCCTCATTTCAGTCTTTTAACCACGTCCCAGGGTTTTGGGTGCTTTGTTAATAACTTGTTATTTTTTCTTTACTAGTATCTGGATGTGATAATTCATCACTTTTATCCTTAAGCCCTGAAATTCTGTCCTTTGCTTGCATCTCATTTAGTTTTTTATTTGATTGTGAGCTTTTCATTTCCAAGATTTTTGTTTTCCTCTTCTTTAGAACCTCTATCTTTTTATTGAATTGTGTCTCCATCTCCTGCATAAGCTTCCCTAATTCATTCAACTGTTTATTTAAACCCTCCTTAAAGTTATTGGTCATTTAAAAATAATTCTTTGATTTTTGTCCACCTTTTTATCCATTTGGATATCTTTGTATTGTTACTTATGAATTAGTCACCTGTGGAAGAGTCATGTTGCCTTATTTTATCACCTTCTTCTTTTTATATTGATATTTGTGCATTACCCACTTTTGTGTGAGTTTCTTCTTTGTGATCAGCTTTCTTGAGGGCTTGATTCCTAGTACAACTAGGAGAGGAGAAAACAAACCATAGTAATAATGCCAATATGAAGAAATATCAGATGCTGAAATTAAATAAAAACAAATTAAAACCAACAACCAATCCATCATCAACAATAGAAATGAAAGAAGAAAAGCAAAATGGCATAATATAGAGAACTAAAAATGATAAAGGGAAAACAAAAAGCTAAATATTAGTAAAGATTAATAATAATAATAATGATGATGATGATGATGATAACAAAGTGGCAGGGCATGGGGAAAAATGAAAGAAGGAGAAAGATGTGCTTTTTTTTTTAAGAAGATAAGGAACAGTTGGAGAAAAGTGAAACCAAAAACTCACATTAAAGAATAAAATTAAATGAAATCATGTAAAAGTAACAGAAAAAATAACAAACAAATAAAAAGGAGTAAAAACAGAAAAAACAGTGAAAATTGGTCCCCAAATTTTCTCAACACTGAGTTGTGTGGATGGGTAAAGTTCCTTTTCACCAACCAGAGATGAATGAGGAATAATGAGCTGCAACAAAGTTTTGTTTCCAAGCTCAATAAACAGGCTGTTGCTATGTGAATGCTGAGTTCTGCCACACTTTTCCCACTCATGTGTTGTATTCCTCCGGAATGAATTCACTTCAGAACATTTAATATAGTGCTACCAGCCATCAAGCCCTACACAGATGGAGCTCCACATTGCTTAAACTTCTTAGGGAGTCTGAAACTAATTCTCCCCCTTTCCATGACTGTCTTTTCTGTTTGTCTCCTGCCCAGTCACAGTGGCAGGGTGTCCCCAAGAACCCCGAAGTGTGGTTGTTCGGTGATATATGATCCTCAGGGTTGCTCAGTCTCAAGTAAGCCCCTTACCATGGCTCCTAGTTACACCACTTCAAAATAATACATTAAGGACTGTAGTGGATTTCTTCTCTAACGCTAGCCTGCTGTGTGCAAAGAGTCACTTTCACTGTAGATTTCTTCATCAGCTTTACAGCTTATTGTAATCATAGGTTTTTTTCTGTAGATCCTGTTTCTGGTTCATTGTTTATCACTGGAGCTTCCTGACCTCTCTGGGATTGCCTTGTGGTTGGAGAGTCAGGTTCCTCTCCCCACCTTGGGAGCCAGTGTTGATGTTATAACTCATTATTTTCTCTATGTTGCCATTCTTATTATTTATGAGTTGTAGCTTTACCTCTCTCTTGATCCCCAGAGTTCTTTTCTTTATCTCACTGAATAGATTTCAGGCTGTGGAGAGGCTGTTAACTGTTCTTTCCCCAAAAATATGACTTACCTGGAAAACAAGTTCTAGCATGATGTTAGAAGAGACATCCTTCCAAAATGAGCCCTATTGCATTTTACTCCAAACGGGGAAACACAGCACCTGAATCTATTCTGCCATTTTGAACGTCCTATAAAGACATTTTTGTTTCTCATCATGTTCCTTGCAGGAATTAAAGCATGGGAAACATTAGGTATGTTATTTTCTAAACTTATCTAGAATTTCTTACTACTGGACATATATCCAATTTGTGGTCAGTTAACAGAGAGATTATGTACAACACAATTGTGAGTGTTAATTGAGATTAATTTAACTGTATTAAGACATGCCTAGCAGATGAGTAAAACACACTTCTGGGTATGTTTGAGTGGGTCTCGAAGGTGTAATGTTGGGTACCATAGCTTGTCCCTGTCCCCTTCCTCTGAGGTATTCTCTGTTTTTTCTGTCCCAAAGAAGAAATATGGTACTGAAAAATTCAGAGTGCATAATGTTTCTCTGAAAAAGCTAGCTGGAAAGAAATAAAATGTTATAACTGGAATCATCTAAAACCACTAAGGACCTTGAAGGCCTGTGGGTGTTGGCTGGATGAATATTTTCAGCAATCCCTCAAAAACTTCTCAGTCATTGAGATAAAATTTAAAACACTGTGGCATGTCCCTGGATAAATGCTTTGATTACGGGGATGAAATGAGGCCAGGAAGTAGCTCTCAAATACACAAGGCCAGTTAGAGACTTTGAAACAAAACTGTGGTGCCAGAAAAAAACCCATTGCTCCTCTGGTTTTACATCTGTCTTACCAGCAAGTCCCTCACTGGGGGCCTCCCTATCCCAAGGCAGCACCTAGCCTCCTGTCCCCTCAGGCTCCTGTGTCTTAGCTGTACCAGCCTTTTCTTCTTCTCTGTAGATATTTTTATAGGTATAGATATGTATGCAAATGTATCTGATACATAGCATCTACTTATACACAATAATTTCTGGAATAAACTTGTTAAATAAAAGTTAAAGGATCCTACTTTCAGGTGCCCATAATTTCAGTCATGATGGGGGGGAACAGGGAACCCTGGAGGTGGGGGAGCTGTGACTTCACCTCCAGGTACAAAGTGACACTTTGGCAGGTTTGCCCCATGGGGTCTTTCCTGAGCTTTGGCCAGTGGAGGGGCTGAGGTCTATCTTGGACACCAGAGAGTGGCCTATTCTCTGCAGCTCTCTGTGTGGTACCATCCACATTTGGTTCAGTCCAGGACAAAGTCCCTCCTTGGCGCTCCTGGCACTGGTCAGGAGGTCATGCAGTAGCACAGGCAACCAAGGGACTGAGAGTTGCTCCCCACATAACTGTGATATAAAATTATACCTGCATGCCTGCTCATCCACAATGGGTCTTGGTCCCCATCGAAAGCATACCAGCATCAACAGGACAAGCTGGGGTCTAGTATCACACTAGTGGGGGCCTTTTGCATTGAAGGTCCCCAATCTTGGGGAGGGCCAGGGGCAGCAGTCATAGGAGCTGAGTGTGTCCTGGCAACTTGTAGAGTACTCCTCAAGGGGCATTGAATGGTCCACGTACTCCTGCCAGCAGGAAGCAGGGGTGGTCAATTCTGTGCTCTCCCACCCTCTACTTCCACAGCTGTACTCAGGCTATGCACTGAAGGATCTGTCCCACTCCCAAAGCTAAAACAGCCACCTCAGGTATAAACAGGGCAGTGACATGGAAGTCAGAGCCAGGACCACGACACATATGCATAGACATCAAGATAAGGATGCTACCTAGGCCCTTCACCAGCTATGTGAAGGTGATCCTCACTGAAGGCATACAGTGATTCTTCTAGAATCTTGTCCTGGGGGCAGGAGGCTGATATGGCTCTCAACTGACCTACTGCATGCTCCCCACCTTATACAGGAAGGGTCTGTAAGGATGCCAGCTAATGGCTCACTCACCACTCACTCCAGGAGCTGGAGCTACTATGGGATCAGAAGCTTGGCTCTCAGCCTGGGAGAACGCACACCCTCAGCAATTAGTGTACTAGTAGGTAAAGGACTTGCACAGGTCTTGTGTGCACATGACCAGCTTCGCCTTGTGGTGTCTTTTGCACTTGGAAAGGTACTGGAGTATGGTGAGTCTTCTAGCGTGAATATCTTCCAGATTTGAAATGGATGAACCAGCTTTGGGGGACAAACAACCCCATTCCCTTAGCACCAACCCTCATCCCCCAGGAGAGTCACCACCAGTGGGTTGTGTTGAGGTACCAGTAGTCACCAAGGAAACAGGCCAGGGCTGTGCTGCTGGCCATAGTGAGGGGTCACAGAGACTGCTGCCCAAGGGCACCAGGGCTCTGGAGGCTGTGGGGAATGTGACTGCTGTCCTTGTTCTATCACCAATGCTCCCTACCCATCCTCCAAGACAGTCATTATGCTGGGTGAAGATGGGGGGCAGCATTAGTGAGAGGGAGCAGCTAATCTGGGAGGAGGAGAGGGAGAATGGAGGTGTGAACTGCCAAATAACCCAAGTAATCAGGCCCCTACTCCTCTATGCTCACTTCTACTATGGCTATATGATACTCACCTGCCCCAGTCTGGCCCAGCTCTCAAGGCCCAGCATCACTCAGACCTCCAGGAAGCCCTCCAGGCTTGCTCTGCTCCCTTACACATGAGGAAGAAGTGTGTCATCTTCAGGCTTCTTGCCCTGTTCTATGTGTGGATTAGAATTTGCTATCTATTTCCTGCGACATATTGCTTTAATGTGAAGTAGAGGACCTTCTACATGGTAGGGGAGCACAAGCCCTTCTCAAGGGACTCTTCAGCCAACAGAGCATTATAGTAATCACCACCAGGATGAAGAGGAAGGTACTGCCACCCACTCTGGCCATAGGAGAGGGTGCCTGTATCCCCACTGCCAGCCTCATCCGCTTTGACCTGCTCCTCTTTCGCTGCAACAACATGGATGTGGTTGCCCCTGCACCAGCGTCTCTCACTAGACTCCACCACCACCACCCAGGCATGGAGCATCACACGGCAGTGGGAGTAAGGAAGGAGTCTCAGTAGCCTAAGGGGAAAGAGAGCCTTAGCATCTCGGGTTTTCACTACTCACCTCAGGGATGCTGGAGTCAGAAATGCCTTGAATTGCTATAAAGTGTAGGTAACCCAAAAGAAATTTTTTCTTAAATCTTGCAAGCCAAGCAGAAGAATCAGCAAATTTTTAAAAAAAAATTTATACCATTTTATAAAAAACCCACATTTCTCCATCCAGTTGATGAGCAACTTTTATAAAATGGAGTACTACTCAGCCTTAAAGAATGAGAAATTAGAGACATTTATAGCTAAACAGATGCACGTGGAGTGGAGGTGATACTCTTAAGTAAAATAAACAGGACACACATGTAAATACCGAATAGTTTCTCTGGTGTGAGAAACTGAAAGTGTAAATAAGGACTAAAAGGTATAATAGATAAGGTGAAATAGGAAGAAAAGGGGCAAAGGGGAAGGGGAAGTGGGAGGAGTAGGGGAAAGGAAAGAAGGGAATGGAATTAATATGAGAAAATGAAAAAATGGAAACAAAGTCTTTGTAAATAGGGAGGGATGGAGGGGTTGAAGGGAGGGCAGGGGAAGGGGGAAAAATAAGAACCAAGAGAGATTATGAAAAGGTACAAATTTCCAATGATGAATGTCATTATATTGTATACCCAAAATGTACCAATAAAAATTTTAAAAATTATACCCCAAATTAATAACCCTTTATCAGTT